TTCTTCTCTCTCTCTCTCTCTCTCTCTCTCTCTCTCTCTCTCTCTCTCTCTCTCTCTCTCATTCACACTTCTGTTTCGCTACAACTTGGTCCACGACTCTGGAAGTTAATGATGAAGTTAATGAAACGAAATTTAAAGGGATCGATCGAAGGGATGCAAATTGAAAGTTGTAGAATTATGAGGGATTTATGAAAAAAAAAAAAAAAAAAAAGGGAAAATGATTGGGTTGTGTATTTGCGTGTGTATGCAGGTATGAAATGTGATCTGAGAACGAAATGTCGTACGCGTGATCGATATGAAATCTCGTCTCGTACGCGTTTTAAATACATACATACGTACATACTATAATGCTATATTACATTATATATAATCACGTGTCCACGATATACCAAAATATGTAAAATATATTTTGACGTATCGTTTAATCGATGTATCATTTATAGAAAATTATATATAACATAATATAAATATACATTAACGCACGCTCGACGCCATATTGTCGGTGTATAAAACTGATGAAGAAAAAAAATTCTTGCAACAAGTGATTGAATTCGTTGACGTTGCTCGATCGTAAAGTGTACGAGAGTGATTGAGAAATCGTGTTAACCAGAAATAAATCTCAATGTCAAGAATAACGTGTTTAGTAATTAATGTAATGTAATGTAAGTGTCATAGGTATCGCTACTTATCACCGCTTAAGAGCAACGATGAGTTTTCATTTCCTTATCTATATGATATACATCCTGTTTTCATTATCGATCGATTTCAGATCAAAATTGAATATTATATATATATATATAAAAAAGATATTTAATTGCATTATATTCTATCATGTGATAAAGAGACACATATTTGATATTCTCTCTCGAACTTACGATCGTTTCAACGACCAACGTTACCCAATGATACTCTATGATTAACTTAACGATAAGCGTCGCAATAATAAGAAACGATCGTCGCAATGAATAAATCCGCCGCAGATTCACTAAATCACCGTTCTTTGCCGATTCTCTCTATTATTTACAACACGTTACACTTTATACATTTATATTTATGTATATGTATATACATATGTATATATATATATATGTATAGTATGTATATATTTATACATATTATGTATGTTCCTCGTCTCATGCGCAACATGTGTCTACGTCTTTCTTGTCAAGTGTGTGCTTATGCACACACGTACACACAAATAACATAATATATATATATACGTATATCGATGATTCTTAGCGATTACAATTACAAATTTCTACGTATGTAAATTCCTTCGAATTACTATTTATACGACGTAATCACCATTTTCGTTTTATTCCTTTCGTCGCAACAAGATTTATAATCTTTAATTAATTAGGAGAGGGAGAATTCATTCATCGAAGAATCGATTTCCAGGTCAACTTCCAAGATGAAAGTTCACG